TTTTTTTTTTTTTTTTTTTATAGAAACCCTGCAGCTCTGAAACATTCTCGTTTAATCAAAACCAAAGACATAAAAAAAAAAAAGGTTTCATTTCAGGCCTGCTCCGGGTCCAGACACCATTTTTGCTCGGCAGAGTCTTTAATGGGGACACTTTAAAAAAGAATTGAAGAGAAACAGAAGCCATGAGTCCGTGTTAATATACAGCTCCCACGCTTTGCTGCGGGACTGGGTGGTGCACGGTTCCTGGGTGCTGTAGGTGGGATCCCTGCTGGTACCAGTGGCTGTTATAATCCTCCAGGTAGGGCGGCGACGAGCTGTGCGCCGGCTGCGGCACCTGGGGCCGGCTGATGGGGGTGCTCTGCGGGGTGCTGTTGTCCCACACTGCCGGGGAGGGCGGGGAGTTGCAGGCCATGGAGTCGCTGGCGTTGGGACTGTGATCCAAGGGAACCTCGCCGTTTTTGTACAACTTCTTAAACTTGGATCTCCGGTTCTGGAACCAGATCTTCACCTGCAGCAAAAATAAAATAAAATAAAATAAAAAAAGATAATTAAAACCCTGCACAACTATAAAACATAGAGATCTAATATCACATAAATAAAATCAAAACAGGACAGAACTTTTTAACTGTGACAGTGACAGGAGGAAACTCATCTGTTGTGCGTAATGACGCACCAGCGTGCAAATAAAAGGCCCATTGTGAACCACATTGGGAGGCCCCGGTTCACACSAGGTTAGGTATAATTAGATGGTAAAATATCAGGTCAAACAGCACATTTACCTGCGTCTGGGTGAGGCCGAGCTGCGCCGCCAGCTCCGCTCTCTCGGGCAGCGCGAGGTACTGCGCCTTCTGGAAGCGCCTCTGCAGAGCAGCGAGCTGGTAGCTGGAGTAAATCGTCCTCGGCTTGCGGATCTTTTTGGGCTTCCCGTTCACCATGCGGACCTCTGGCTCTGGCTCTTCTTTCACTGTAAAATAAGATAAAAAAAAAAAACAGGTAAATAAACCGAACTAAACTTCTGTTAAGGATGAAAAATGAAACCAAAATCATGTCTAAGTAAAAACACGTTTTTTAAAATACTTGAAACCATTTTTTTTTTCAAACACTCGGTAAAAGCGTAACTATAAAACACACTTCATTACTTTGTCTTAAAATTTCATTTTGGTTTGAAATTCCTAATTCATAAAAGGAAGATTTTTATTGACTTATTATCTATATAAAATTATATTATTATAAAAAAGCAGAGTCGTTAAATAAAGTTAGTTTTGAAGTTGCAAATTCACAATTAATCAAACACTAAGTGTTTTTTT